GCTGGCTGGAGAATTCTGGGAGTTGAAGTCCACAAGTCTTAAAGTTGCCAAGGTTGGAGACCTCTGATGTAAGGTATTAAGCTAATATCAAACAAATCACAGAATGCTTTGGATGATTCTCGAATCTATGCCTTCTTGAATAACCAAGATTAGATCTATTTATATTTATTAGCACATAATTGACAGAAATTTATAATGGCAGAAGATTTATTTTTCATCTTCCTTAAGGTAAAGGTTCCCCTCGCACATATGTGTTAGTCGTTTCCAGTCTAGGGGGCGGTGCTCATCTCTGTTACAAAGCCGAAGAGCCAGTGCTGTCCAAAGACGTTTCCGTGGTCATGTGGCCGGCATGACTAAATGCTGAAGGCGCATGGAACACCTTTGTCTTCCTTACCCTGTAGTTATCTGGAAGTTTGGGGAAATCTTGAGAACAGCTCAGGAGGCAGCACAGGAAACTCAGGGAAAGGGAGGAATCAGCAAGCATTCTTCCACAATGGAGAAATGTTAGCTCTTTCTCTGTGGAATGACAACCTTCAACCTTCTAAAGTATCACTAGAACTATATTAATATACTGCATGTACTGCACTCAATAGCATCCTGCTTTCCTGCAGTCTTATTTAAAGCTAACATAAATGATGAGTGTATTGTTTCTCATTTTGGGGCTCTTTGTAGACACCAAGAACATACTGTGCTGCTAATACAGAGGATCTGGAAACAATTATTGATTATATACATAAGTTATATGCTTCAGCTGCATTGATGGCAGCAGGTGTTTCTCTGGGAGGGTAAGTATTTTTGTAATGAAAATCCCAATATTGTAGATTTATCACATTGGGGAATATCTTGATTCTGAAGGCCATTCACCCACACGCACTACAATCTTAGTGGCATCTTATGGTAACCATATAAAAGCTCATTAGATAAATACAAATAATTGTTTTATCACATTCTTTCCCTCAGAGGAATACTATATAAGCTGACCGAAGGAAGTCACGAAAATCCTCATTAGCAATTTCCACTGCTGGAATTAAATCCTAAAACACAATTTAGTATGAAACTCAAATTTGAACTCATTGATACTGAAAATAGTTAATATTATATTAATATTCTATTGCTATTTCAGCCTTGCTAACAGAGCAAACATATACTAAAAAAATGAGTCTAGAGAAGAAACAAAGACTACAAATTGGATTTAAAGAATGTTAATGGTGCTCTGTCTGGAATGACTTTTCTTATCTTGTGTTGCACTAGAAACATCTTTCTTTAAAAACAAAAATTCTTTCCCCTAGAGTAGGTCCCTTTTAGGAACAGCATAGAATGGTGTGGCAGATATACCGGCCTTTCACTATATGATAGGGATTTCTGAATCCAATTTAGTAATTCAGCGCAAGCCTTTTGAGTTCCAGATTTGAAAGTGAGCATCATAATCAATGAACAATGAATATCAGCACTGCATCTAATACAACTGGCATTGTTTACTATTGAAGATTACAAAAGCTAGTGCAAATATTCAGGATAGGTACAAATACTTTGTGAGATCATTTTTTTTTTCAGACATCTGTTTCTCTCCTATTTGTAGCATGCTTCTTTTAAACTATTTGGGCAAAACTGGGAAAAAAACACCATTAAAAGCAGCTCTAGTTTTTTCAGCAGGATGGAATGCTTTTGAATCTGCAAATTCACTGGAAAAACCAGTAAATTGGCTTCTTTTTAATTATTATTTAACCAGCTGCCTAAAGTCTTCAGTTACTAGGTAAGTGAAAGCCAAGTACATTTGGGTGTGTGTGTGTGTGTGTGTGAAAACGTATGAAATTCAATTCCAGTGAAAAATATGTTGTGTAAAAGAATCAACTTCACCTAAATTCATCCCACCTACACTCTTAAGATTGGTTTCTATTGCCCTATCCATATAGAACAATTGTCAGATGTCAAGGAGAAAAAGTCCTTGCTGATAGAAGCCTAACATTGTCTGAACTTCATTCTATAGACGTCCTGGGTTCTCTAAACTACTGTTCATTGTTGTTTTTACTTTAAAGGATTATATCAGCTTTATATGTGTATATTTTATCTATAATAATCTTGTGGTTGTTTATTTGTTACTTGGAATAGCAATGCTGCAAAATGTGTTTAAATTTTCCAGAGAAGTATTTAATCATAAAGGTTCTCATTCAGATGAAATGAACTTTCTTTTTCCCCTTCTAGGTCATATATATAATTTGATTTATTTCCTTATATTATGAACCATCTGTGCTATTCAAATATAATTTATGTTTGATTATATACCATCAACATCTGGCAATGGTATGGGTACATTTTCTCTGTGAGCTACTGTCCTCAATGCGGTCCTTAAGGTTTTCCGAGAACATACCATTGCTGCGGGAATTTAGTCCATTTTGCTGCTGGTCATCCTGTTCTTTCTATTTCCACCCTTCCCAGCATCAGAGCCATATATAATAGATAGATACCGTGTTTCTCACATAATAAGGCCGGGCCTTATTTTTTTTTGAGCCCCGAAAAAACGGCTAGGCCGTCTTTTCGGGGGGTGACTTAATTCCCCCCCTTGCATCCTCGCCACCAGCCGCTCCTAACGGGCGATCATGGCCAAGCACAGAGAGCTCCCTACTCCCACCTTTGCTGCAGACACCTTTGGCACCCGCCGCTGTTGCTTTCCCTTCTGCCCATTACGCCGCCACGTTTGGAGCTGCCGCTTCCGTGATTGGAGCGCGGTCGCCATTTGGAGCTCCAAACGCGGAAGTGGCAGCTCCAAACATGACGGCGGGCGATCTTTTTATTTTGGTCCGCGCGAAGTTCAGAGCAAGCAAGAGAGGGAGACCGCGATGCCTTGCTAAAGAGCTTTCGCCTTTCCCTCCTTGCAGCGCGCATGCGTCCCAAGCAACACTCCGCCCCGAAGAGTCGTCCTACTGCCTTCACTCT